TGAAACCAGCATTCAACCTTCTTTGTTATTTCTATGTCTATTAAATGGTGTCCATTATGAGAGCAGGATGCTAAAATTTCTAAAATAATACATTTTATAGCCGATTGAAATATGTGAACTGACTTTTATTAAAACGTTTATTGTATGATTTAATAAAAAATTCCAATAACATTTTTGCTTTCATTTGTGATGGCCATAAGGGGAATAAAATGATTGCTTTGATACTTTATTTCATACTAGGAAATTTGTCCTTTGAACCGTAATATAATGTTTCATTTAGAAGTATTTTGATTTACTTATCAGAATAAGAGTTTTCGTGAACTGCTAATAATTGTATCTGGAGTGTAAAAATTGAAATTACATCTAATTATATATATTAATACAATGTTTTATTAAAGACGGAAAAAGAAAACTTAATTTTTATTTTCTTAAAGTAAAATCATTCTTATCGATAATTATATTTGTTCTTTTTAAATTCAAACCAACCACGGGGTTTCCTTCGAATTTTTAGGTTAAAATGACCAAAAAACTTTGACAGTTTAACGATTTTCCCATTTCCTTTTTTGCAGATCCAAACACAATATCGAAAACTGATCCAACAACATCTTTAACATCCATGACAACGGCTGCACCAATTAGCTTTACCACAGAGGGAAATGTGTTTAAGCCGGGGAACATTTCCAAGAACACATTGGGTAAATCTTTTTAAGCAGCATGATAACAAAACACTGGTAACCTATCAATTTGCAAGCTTGTTTTGAATGAACACATCTTTGTATGATGAAAATAACATCTGGCGTGAAAAATTAAGTTGGTAAGAACAAGATCTTAAAACCACATCTTTCTGTTTCTAGAAATTTGAAAACTGATTTACAGATCCAACCACAACATCTAAAACTGAACCAACAACATCTGTGACATCCATGTCAACGACGGCAATACTTAGCTTTACCACAGAGGGAAATGTGTCTAAGACTGGGAATATTTCTAAGGACCATAGCAATCGGATCAAAGGTGAAGTAATGCATCAAATACAAACAATTCCATATATATATAGATGATAAATTGTATCAAATTCTTAATGCATTTCAGAAATCGGAAATGCGAGCTTCCCGTTCCCAGAAACAGCTCAATAGATGATAAAAATATTATGCGATATATTGTCTAACTAACTTCAACTATACTAATCTTCTCATATTCTCAAGAAAGTATAATAAATTACAATTTTCTTTTACCTAAAACACGAAGTTGGCATACACCTGCGAATATAATATTAGAGTTATATGTAAAATTGCACCCATCTAATCGAATCAAGGTATAAATTATCGGTGTTTTAGATACCGGAAAAAGTAAAATACCATTTCCGAATATCAAAATTCACTGAAAGTTGTGTCTAAAAAATACTCAAGTTTTCATGTTCACGCAGAAAATGAGTAAAGTTGTAATTCCGGTTTCTATAAATTGTTTATAGAATCTAATCGAATCAAGGTATAAATTATCGGTGTTTTAGATACCGGAAAAAGTAAAATACCATTTCCGAATATCAAAATTCACTGAAAGTTGTGTCTAAAAAATACTCAAGTTTTCATGTTCACGCAGAAAATGAGTAAAGTTGTTATTCCGGTTTCTATAAATTGTTAAAAAATTGCGATAGAAACCTGCGAGTACAAAAGTTATATATTAAATCTCGCACAACTATCTGATTAATAAAATACATATCTGAAATTTGGTTAATCTAACTGTACCGGTAAAGTTATCTTTTCACAAATAGACAGACTTAGAGACAACTGAAAATTTACGTTTTCTGACAAGAGAAGGTGTAGTCACTCAGAACACTTGTTAAACTGTAAAACAGCTTACGTCAGGTTGTATGATAGTGCAAAAAAGCCTTAAAAAATACCTAAAAAACCCTAAACATAATTAAAGTTACGAGACGCTGAATAAGAAAAAACATGTAAAATGGAAAGTGTTTTCATCCTATTCATATCTGTAATTTTTTATGTTTAAAAATTCATTCGAGTTTTTGTCTTTCAGATAAGATGTATTCGTTTGGACTAGCTGAATGGATTGGCATTGGGATCGGTGTATGTGTTGTGGTCACGTTATCAGTGCTTGCAGTTGTGCTTGTTATAAAGCTCCGATGTAAAACAGTAACTCAGTGGGAATCTGGAAGCAGACAGCCAGAACCAAAACAGTAAAATATTTTCGCATGAAATAAATTATACTAATCCTATAGTAACTATATTAGATACAGAATTTTTTACAATATTTTTTTTTATATTTGAGAACAGAAAAAAAGCAAAACAAATGAAACATCAAACTGAGCAGAATAATATATATATATATATATATATATATATATATATATATATATATATATATATATATATATATATATATATATATATATATATATAATTAAAGTGTCTGTTATGGACTTAGATCATTGTCATTTAGCCATGTCTATTGAGTATTGGTCACGGGATCATGGTCAGTGAGGCAATTATATTAAACAATTTTTACAGAGTTATGGCCACTGTTCAGTAAGGTATGGTCAACTAGAGCATGTTAACTAGTCTCTAGCTCATGGTCATAGTCATTAGGACATGAATATTCCGACATGGATGATAAGTCAAAGTCATTTTCCAAAATCCATTGAGGCATGGACACTAGATCGAAACTATTGGATCATAGACTGCATCCGGGAAGATGACATATTAAGGTCATATACATATTATGGTCAGTTGCATTTAGGCAGTGACATATAGGCAGCGAGCCATGAGTTATTATAAATGTGTCATGATCTTTGGGCCATTGCCGACTGCGCTGTGGTCATAAGAGTATGAATATTGGGACATGTTGATTCATTTGTCATTGTATCATAACCATTGATACATGCATACTTTATGAAAGTTAATGCGTCATAGACTTTGGGTCATGGACATTTATCAACACTATGTCATGGTGACGTACTGACTGATAGTTATTGCTATGTATGTTTTTATGATGTTGTATAAGAAAGAAAAGAAAAAATTCTTTTCCAGATGAAAACGCTGTTTATGAAAACATGAAACGGACCGACGCAAGGCGTGTTCAACTGGTTGAGCTAGATGAAACCAAACATTTGTATGCTGAATTTTTTGACAAATAGAGTGTTAGTAATAATTGTATCTAGTACTTGTTAATGTAAAAACAAACAAAAAATGTGTAATGCATGTTAGAGGAAAACAATATAGTTCATTCCACACTCACGTTTATTTCAAGCCTAAATGTTTTTATTTTTGTAAACCACAGGTATAACTACTTCAAAACTTATTTTTTTAAATGTGTAACTCAAAACGAATTATGTTTTCTTTCTTTAGTAATTTTCTATTGCTTATGAAAGTTTGGTTTGGAAATTATAAGGACATTATATCAAATAGCTTGTTGCGATTAATAACGTATTAAACATCGAAATGTCTATAAATCTTGTATAACATATTTTAGAAAAATCTCAACAGTAAGTGAGGCGGATTATTGTGATCAAGATTGACTCGTCCCTTAGGCTCTAGAAAGTGCACTTTTAAATAAACTCCTTATAAAAGATAATATATTTCCCAATATAATAATATCAATAGATATTTAAGTTAATAAATTATATGGTTCATAATTTGGGGTAGCATTTATAAGTTAATAAAAAATAATATTAAAATCAATATTGAAATTTAAAAACTTATTCATGCCTGATTAAACATAAGAAATTAAACAAATTCATGTTTGTTTGTACTTTATTTTATTTTCTTCTGTAAGTTCTAAAATCAATGACAGATAAATTTAAAAATTAAAAAGAGAAATGCTTGATAATTTAATTTCCCTTACTGATCTAAGAAAAGTTTTGACTTTTTTCCTTACAAAAAACATATTAAATGTGTAAATGTTTTCTCATTATGATTTTAATGTTACTCACATAAGAGATTTAAAATTTTTTTATTAAAAAGCATTTCATTCATATTTAATGTAATAAATGTGAATGTCAATAAAAATGAATTCTAATGTGTACAATACAAGTAAAAGTTATCGAGCGAGATAACCACAGCTGAACTATCAAATAAAACTAGTTCGTGTTTGTTCCCCTTTTGAAATAACATTTTTCTTTTTTCTCAGAAAAATGTGCAAACGAAAATATACGCAAACAAAATATGCGCAACGCAAAAAAGCGCAAACATATATATATATATATATATATATATATATATATATATATATATATATATATATATATATATATATATATATATATATATATACATATATATTTTAATTAAGAAAAAACAAACAAATGCCACCGCACTTTCTAAAAGGCATATATATTGCAAAAATGTTCCGATAATACTTACTAAAATGCTGTTTACCGAAGGTGTTTCGACCATTGGTGATTGACTCATTCGTTGTTTGACGGCAGGGAATTATTCTGGGAACCCTTAATGTGAGTCAGATGCCTAGGAGAGGTGGGTGGACGATCTTCTTACGTGAGTTTAAGATCCGAAATACAGACTTTCAGGTTAGCAGTCAAATGCTCTCTTTCATGACCACCCCATCCTATGAATAAAAACATTTTTTTTAAATAAAGGGATTAACCATTTTGACATTTAAAGACAAGAGTCGCTATATAGGTCACCTAAATTGTTCATAAAGATAATGGAAATTATAGAAAATAATCTTGAACTGTAAAATTTCGTCCACGCAACTTAAATAGTACTCACGTCATTGGTTTTTAAGAAACCGGAAGTAGAGAAAGTACAAAATTCCGGTTACTGGAAAAACTAATAGACTGCTAATTGGATATCATACTTTAACGGGACATTTTTTCTCACCTAACTGAAATGGTATTCAAGTTACCGTGTTTATTTACACACATACAGACACTGTCATGATAGCAAAACAATTTTTTTTTACCCAGAAAGGTGTAAAACGATGTATTGCACAATTTAAATACTTCCTCTATATTTCATATACGAGAAATAAAAAAAATGCTACAGTGAAATACAAATTTTAACAAAAGATTATTTACTATATAAACATAATCATACTTAATTAATGAACGGGATTTTAAATTCCGACTTTCCACGATATTTCCTGAACTTGTACTCGGAATCACATCTTACTGATGTAATCTATAATCCAAGTCCACGTGATCAGTCAATGCGAAATTTGTTTTAGCTATTAAATCTTACCTTCCGCGTTGTAAATTGTTGTTGATTGGATTCTTGCCAGCCTTCCAATTCTATCCCACAGTTATAAAAGAATGATGTTGTGCAAGATAGAGATCTTTTGTTTAATGCTTCGTCAAACAGCATAACGTAACTTTTCACTCTAGCCAAGGTCTTTGGTTAAAGTTATTTTAAGGACCTCGTTGGTGAACGTTCGTGTTTTAATAAATCGACTTACACACGACCTTTTGACAGCGCTGATAGCTCTATATAAAGTAATACAAGATTCACATTCTTCACGATAAACATTCGGCCTTCGTGATCACCATAAACGGATTTTACCACAATATTAATCAGTTTCGTAGCCAAGATCGTCTCAAGGGGGGGGGGGGGGGGGGTTCCAATTTTTACCCAAAGGACAAGCTTTCGATTTGCACCCCCCCCCCCCTCAAACTTTCGATTTGCGCCCCCCCCCCCCCCTCAAACTTTCGATTTGCACCCCCTCATACTTAATATATATATACCAAGGGGTCTATGGGGGGGGTCTAGCTGTATACATGTGCTTTGCTATGGTAAAATAGAAAAAAATAAACTTTTATCCATATCTCTCGTCACCGCGACCTACGTTTAAATATTGAATTTCAAATTAAAAAATGTTTTTTGCAGAACCCTTCCCAGTAGCGTTCTAACTAACTCCCCAAAGTTTCATGGCGATCGGATAAACGGTGTCAAACCGCAATCTACTTTTATTTTTATATACTGTATATTGAGAAAAAAACAAATCGAGCCCTGCCGGGTTGCCAGCCCTGCGAATTTGAAATTTGTTTTTCACAGAAACCTCACCAGGTGTATTCTCAACGACTTCCCAAAGTTTCATGGCGGTCTTATGACAGGTAAAGTAATTCATAGGCCTACATGCTTTATATATATATATATATATATATATATATATATATATATATATATATATATATATATATATATATATATATATATATATATATATATATATATATATATATGTTCTGTGAGATATGGTCAACGATGCATGGATCTTGAGTCATTCTCAATGGATAATGGTCGCTAGATCACGGTTACTATGTCATCGTCATTCAGTCATTGTTATTATTGTTATTATTATTCGGATATAGAATTCAAGTCATTTCACTTAACCACAACCATAAGGAGATATAAGGGACGAAGTGGGCTTGCGGTGCAGAGGCCTCGCGGTACAGAGCTAGACTGCTAACCCGTTAGTCTTGAGTTCGAATCCGGGTCCAAGTCAGTTGTTTTTTTTTCCAGTAATTTTGGTATTATTTACAAATGTTTAGTTTGACAGTAGGCCTACTTTATGATTTTATTTAAAACACTTTTTGTTTTAATTAATGGAATTTAGCTGTTAGCGTTTTATTGTATGGTGTATGTTTAGTGTTTCAGTTATTATGCAAGTTGAATGTAAATAAGTATACACCGAAATGCATTCGATTTTCGTTTATTTTTAATCTCGTAAATTTCTTCTATTTAGAATTGTCTTATTAATACGTTGACACCAATGTGTGTTCTCATTTCTAATTTTGTTTAAATATACCACCTTGCAAATGTTCTAAATAATATATAACAAGCGTTTTTTCTGTATAAAGTCGTGGCTTTGATGCCGTATTTGTGTAACGAACCGTGTTGCAGAGGAACGGCAGGTGAAGCGTCGTTATTATTAGAATCACGTGGAGGTGTACGTGTTGCTGTTCTTTTTAAAATCATAACTCCATGGCGCAATAAAAACACCGATTTTACATTACGAGCCAGTAGACCCAAACTCCCTTTTAGAAAAATAGGTCACGTGTTTTGACATTAATGTGGTTAAATCTGTCACCCATGTATTTGTTTTATGCATGTGTGTGTCTAATACTTTCATATACAATGCTATTTTTTTAAAAATATGTTTACTTAGTCTTTGGATTGTTTTTTTATTACGTTTATTATTATTCATGTAGTATATTTCAAAATAATAGTGCGTAAAAAAGTAAATAACATCCATATGACATTCAATTTTTAAAAAGTTAAATCGACTAAAAACTATCCTAAATACTATAAATATTTTACTTAGAGAACATTTTTTTCTCTGAAATTAATTACCCTTGATATGTTTTGTACTGATATCTTTTGTGCGTGCAATCAATTTTCCTTGAGATAATTTGTGAGATATTTTGATCCTTCTTTAGAGGTCATCCATAAATGACGTCACGCTTTTTTTGACGATTTTTACCTCCCCCCCCCTCCGTCATACGTCGTCACAAAAAGCCAGAACCCCACCCCCCAACATAACGTCACACTTCAGCCTACAACCCCCACCCCCCACCTCTCAGCATTGCTGTTGAATTTTTCTTAAAACATCGATATTTTTCCAAAATCTTGTCAGAACTCTGTAAATATAAAGTATGTTAGTCAATTCTTATTTCAATTTATTAAAACAGTTTTCTAAAACGCGAAATAACGGCTAAAACTCGTTTTCTATCATTGCTTTTTATGATGCAAAAGTGTGACGTCAAACAATCTGACCCCCCCCTTCATCACACACCGTCACAAAATTACCCACCCCCTCCCCCCTACAAGTGTGACGTCATTTATTTACGACATCTTATTAGAATGTTTACTTTTTTCTTTGAGTTATTTTTAGCACAAGGCGTCACTACGTCAGGTTTTACCGATGTGCGGTAGCTTAGGGTGCTCCCCCCCCCCACCTACAAAAATAGTTTGAACTGCGATGACAGTTTTAAACCCAAATGCCTTGAGCTTGGATCCCGGAATCGAATCAGAATAACATCCCTGATGGGCACCTGACTCACGTAAAAAAAAAACATAGGCCGCTGACCACACAATCCTCTTGTATGTCGAGGTGTTTCCAACAGATGAGCTCTACTTCATCTGAACCATGTGTCTTGAACATGAACGGGAAAAGATGATGATTATGATTTGATGATAGTTTGGTTAGAATATATCGAGTTTTGTTTCCCTGATCTATTCATATATTTAGGCCGAACACGCGCATCTTGGAACAAATGAACTACTTTAACTGCCCCATGTGTCTTGGACACCAACGAGGAAAAAAAATGATATTGCGCAATCTGCAACTTCTTGTTCATCAGTCAGTACACGACAGTGTTGAAAACTCCATTAAAAATTACCTTAAAAATGGCATTTAAAAAGTCGTGTATTACGTTGAGATATAGAAACGAAACCAGCTGAAGATGAACTGGAATTTTTTTTCTACTAAATAGACTTCAATACTTTTCATAGTGTACTAAAACTGAGATATAAAACTACAGCACAGCATAAATAATGCACTCCAACAAAACAAAATAGACAATGGAAAGTTTGTAATTAAAATTAGTAAAAATATATAATTGTAGCATTTAAGAAAAAGGACGCCATCCATTCTTTTCA